TATTTCTAAATCTCGAATCAACCATCCCCGGGGAGTTTTATTTTAGGGAACGGAATTCTAAAAGTCAAAATGACCGGTTGGGTCATTACAGTGTCATTACAGTGTATTTGTGTATATACGAAATATGTACAGCGTCTATGTTCCATCATGCATTTGTAAGCACAATAATATCAGTTTGAATTAGAGATAAAAGAAAGATATACTAACTAGTAATTGTCATGAGAAGAACGGTGAGCACGAAACTAAACTTAAGCCACATCATGTTATAAAAAAAAATAGTACTTTACACTTCGTAAAAGTTTCTGCATGAGCGTTTTATTATCTTTTGAAGGGCGTAATTTATAGACCTCTCATGTAGTGATATAACTCTCTCTGTTGGACTATAATCCATTTTTTTAAAGTATATTAATTAACATTTTTAATGTTCAAATTGCCCGGGCTCACCTCCCCTAGTAAATAATGAAGTCTACATAATTTTAAATACCTTTCTCTCTCACACTTTCTTAAAAAAGAAAAAAACATTTTATAATAGTTTGCTATTTTGTGCAAGATTCTCCAAATCAATGTGTTGACCTGGTCCTTTATTTTGCGAAAATAAGTTTATGATCTGCCACATTTCTTAAAGATGCACGTGAGAACTGATGCACTTCTTTCTAGTCAGTAGCGTATGTCTATTACATTAATTCATGTGAAGTATAAGTCAACTCAAGTTTGCAGTAAATGACGGATCCAAAGCATATTAATGAAATTAAAGTTCTTGTTCCTTTCTGTCCGCTTTAATTAATTTTTTGGGGCTCTTTTCACGTATTAAAATTTTTATCTTTTAGTATTAATTAATAATAAAATTGATCATAGTAACCTTAATTTATTCATTAAAAATATAACAAATACTCTTAGACTCTTTACTCCAATAGCAACTTTGGAAAAAAAAATTAACTCCTTAATATCTAAAAAAATTAAATATTATGGACCCAAAAAAAAGATAAAAAAATCAATAAAAGTGAACCGGAGGAAATACTATTTTTCAACATTAAAATGCTAAGTAAATTTTTGAAAGTAACAATTCCATTCAGTTCGCTTTCGGAAAACTTGCTGGTCGCGGATTAGTTCGTTCTGCGCCGCCAGCGGCCTCAACTCAAAGGCGCAGGTTAATCGTACGAACGAGATATCCAGCAACAAGAAGAAGGAAAAGGATTGAATAGAGGAACTCCCGAGCAAGAGAAAGGACAATAGAAACCATCAGACACCTTGGATGCATTAATTACAACAATTTCTCTCAAATAGTCTACTTGATTATTTAGATTAGCTCACCGTGATTCTTTTTTAAAAATGATTTTAATTTCTTGCGTCACATAAGATAGAGGTAGATATCACTTATGAGATCACACCGGATATACTGCTATTATTGTTGTATCATGATTCTGGTGCAGTATGCAATAGTATTATTATTTCTAAGAAATGTGACATGAAATGTGGTATATAGCAAAAACGATTGCAGAATTAGAGGTGACAATCACTTGGCTTGCGTATGGAAAAAGTTATTTTGTATTACACATAAGTTATTAAATTTCCTTTGACGTAAGAAACAATTCTAATAAAATAGTAAAGAGGGTTCAAAATTACTTTAAATCATCACAGATTCGAATCCCAGGTGTCATATTTTTGAATTACCTTAATACAAAATCGTGTCCAAGCCACCTGGTTGTATAATGCTTTAATGAAGGAGATTAATTAATTTTATCAAAAAGTAGACTAACTACTGTCACATATTAAAATTCACTAATAGTGTAAAATATATTTAAAATATTAATGCATATAACTTAAATTCATATTATTAAGCTACACATAGTTCACTCTATCAAAGGAAATTATTTTGTACGCATTCTCTTGCTTGGATTTTAATTGGGTATTATGATTTTACAAAAAATGAATATTTTTATTTTACTATATTAGGAAGTTTCTCATCAGCATTTAGTGTGTATGTGTCACGATTCGAAATTTTTACCTTCTGGACCGTGTTGGCGCCTAACATTTCACTTGCTAGATAAACCAATGTTAGAATGTAATTAGCCATTTTAATACAATTTTAAATTAATTAATAACAAAGAAACAAGTGCGAAAATAAAGTGAATAATCCATAATAATCGCGATGTCTAAATACCATCCCAGAACTGGAGTCACAAGTGCATGAGCGTCTAGAATAATACAAATAAGGGTCTGAATAAATTTAAAGTTGTCTCAAAGAAAACTCACAGCTAAAATAAAGTAGAAGGGGACTTCAGAACTGCAGACGTTGTGCAGTTATACCTCAAGTCTCCTCTGGGTAGCTGAAATCCGAGCAAGTCTATGGTACGCCGATGAGACCAACTCTGAAATCTGCACAAGAAGTGCAGAGTGTAGTATGAGTACAACTGACCCCATGTACTCTATAAGTGTCGAGCCTAACCTCGACGAAATAGTGAAGAGGCTAAGGCAAGTCACTTAAATTAACCTGTACGCAATAAAAGTAATAACAACAATAATAAGAATAAAACATATAACTCATTTCAGTTAAAAGCAACTCGGCAATCATAATTAATTATTATTTTAATCAATTTCTGTTGCGGCGTGCAACCCGCTCCAACAATATTACTCTTCAATAAATATCCGTTGCGGCGCGCAACCCGCTCCAACAATATAAACTTAAAATATAATATGTTGCAGCGTGTAACCCGATCCCCCAATATATTCCTTTTCATTTCCGTTGCGGCGTACAACCCACTCCAACAATATAAACTCAAAATATAATCCGTTACAGCGTGCAACCTGATCCCCCAATATATTCCTTTTCACTTCCGTTGCGTCGTGCAATCCGCTCCACAATATAATTTAACAACTCTTAAATATAATAAAAATACTCCTATAAATACCACATTCAGTAAAATATTATTAGGCAGCAAGGCACACAACATTTATAAATTATTTCGGAAACAAGTAATGTCAAGTAATAATTAATTGTGAAAATTAAGGAGAAAATAGGCAATTTCATATTTAATATGCTAAATGTCAAATAGCAATTAAGACACATAAATCAAATAAGCATGTAACACTTATTGCATGGATTCAAGAATTAATATTTGACAAGGAATATGAGAGAAACAATTATTATGATAATTAATTCATATCTTAAGAATAATTTATAATTTTTAAATAATTATACAAACAATTAATTTGACAAAGTATAGGCACTCATCACCTTGCCTATACATCGTTACACATGAAATTCACATAGCAAATAATTCAAGGGTTTTATTCCCTGAAGTCAAGGTTAACCACGACACTTATCTCGTTTTGTAACCAAATTCAAGATTCCAATAAAACCTTTGCCTCGCGAATTCGTGTCTGAAATCCTCAAATCTAGTCGTAAACAATTCAATATACTCAATACAAATCGTAGGAATTGATTCCATATAAATTTACTAATTTTTCGGATTAAAATTCAAAATTTATTTTAATAATTGACAGTGGGTCCCATGTATCGAATATCAAAAAAATTTACAAAATTCGAACACCCATGCCGATACGAGTTCAGCCATATAAAGATCATCGAATTCCGACATCGGATTGACCTTCAAATCTTAATTTTATATTTTTCGAAGATTTTATAAAAATCTTATTTTTCTTCCATAAATTCACGTATTCATGATGTAAATGAGTATGGAATCATGAAATATAATCAATATAGGATAAGGAACACTTACCCCGATGTTTTCTTGTGAAAATCGCCCAAAAATCGTCTTACCCGAGCTTAAAATAGTAAATAATAGAAAATGGGGCGAAATCCCATTTACAAAACTTAAGTTCTGTTTACCTAGGTTTTTATTCGCGATCGCATAACACAATTGTACAGCTGCCAATTTGTTTTTGCTCTTCGCGAACGCGAAGCACCATTTCCCAGCCTTATGCGATCGCGAACGGCTGAAGGCGATCGCATAGCACAAATCGCGTGCTACAGCTTCTGCCTCGCTCCTTCTTCGCGAACGCGGCTTTGCCCAAGCGTTCGCAATACCTTAGCTTCTCCAACTGTGTGATCGCGGACAATACTATGCGATCGCATAGTACAAATTTTCATCAGTGCTCAATAAACCTTTGCGATAGTGGATAAAGCCACGCGATCACATAGAAGGAAACCAAAACTGGAAAATACCAGATTTCCAGCCATCTGTTCTTGAACAAAAATAGTCTGAAACTCGTCCGAAACTCACCCGAGCCCCTCGGGGTTCCAAACTATATATGCACACCAGTCCAAAAACTTAATACGGACTCGCTCGCGCAATCAAAATACCGAAATAATACCTAGAACTACGAATCGGATACCAAATCAAATAAATTTTTTAAGAAAACTTTAGAATTTCTAATTTAACAATCGGACGTCCGAATCACGTCAAACCAGCTCCGTTTCTTACTAAAGTTGACAGACAAGTCATAAATATAGTAACGGACCTATACCAGATTTCGAAACTAAAATACGGATCCGGTATCAACAAAGTCAAATATTGGTAAATTTCTTAAAGTCATTAAGCCTTTAAACTTCAAAATGTTGACAACATGTGATAACTCGAGCTAGGGACCTTCAAATTCGATTTCGGGCATAACCCAAGTCCTAAATTACGATACGGACTTACCGGAACTATTAATATACTAATCCAGGTTCGTTTGCTCAAAATGTTGACCAAAGTCAAATCAATTGAGTTTTAAAGCTCTATTTCACATTTTAATCAATTTTTCATATAAAAACTTTCTGGAAAATTATTCGGACTGCGCACGCAAGTCGAGGAGTGATGAATAGTGTTTTTCGAGGTCTTAGAACATATAATTAATTATTAAATTTAAAGATGACATTTTGGATTAATGTAGCCGCAGAACTTACTAAGCATATAGTTATGTTGCTTAACTGGCACTCTATATAGGTGCTAATAATTTGATGAACGATGCAAGTCTTAAAATAATAGTGTATGAGATCACCTTTGAAGTCGATATCCTTTATTGTTAAATAGAAAGTCATTCAATTAACTTTTTCCTTTATTCGTACAACGACTAAAATACAAGGAAACATTGAAAGAAACACTAAATTCAAACCAAGATACAGATTCATAGTAGGGACTTGTACTAGTGTTTGTTGCATTTGCAAAATTATGTGCAATTTGCACGTATTCTACGGCATAACTATGTCGCAATAACCAAACAGACAAGAACAACAAATCCAGCAATCGTTGCACTCTTTTCCGATTTCACAAGTTCTCCCACAAGTTAAAAAGTCATTAAGACGAGGGAGTAAGCTTCTTTCGAGTCAGTCTTGAGAGATCATGCTCAACATTCTGAATCGCCTCCACTTTAGAACTTGAGAACCATGACAAGTTGACTGAAATATTTCACAATCTAATTATTAAAATCAAATTATGAATAATATAACATGAATAAAACTCACATTTTTAAACAACATGGGTAGGAACATATGTATATTTGTTACATACGAAATATGTACATCGTCACATATGTTCCATCATGCATTTGTAAACACAATAATATCAGTTTGAATGTAGAGATAAAAGAAGACATATACTAACTAGTGGTTGTCACGAGAAGAACAGTGAGCACAAGACCAAACTTGAGCAACATCGTGTTATAAGGAAATAGTACTTTACACTTCGTGAAAGTTCGTGCATGAGCATTTTATTATCTCCTGAAGCGCGTAATTTATAGACCTCTCACTTAATGATATAACTCTCTCGATTGAACTATAATCGTTTTTTTTTAAAAGTATTACTAATTAACATTTATTATGTTCAAGTTGCCTGGGCTTGCCTCCCTTAGTAAATAATGAAGTCTATATAATTTTAAATAGCTGTCTCTCCCACACTTTCTTAAAAAAGAAAAATACATTTTATAATAGTTTGTAAATTGTGCAAGATTCTCCAATTAATGTGTTGACGTGATCCTTTATTTTCGAAAAATGCTCGTGGGAGTTGAAGGTGAACCTGATCCTTTACATTTTGTCATTTGAATATGGCTACTAATTAAATATGTTATTAAACTACACGCAATGCATTTTATTAAAGGATATTGTACACATCTTCTTTTTGTACACACTCTTCACTCTGGTTTGGATTTTAATTGGGTATCTGGATTTTTTGAAAAGCAAATTCTATTCCATTACTAGGAAGATTCTCATTAGCAAACATAATTATGTTTCTTAATTAGCCGGTACTCCTTATAGGTGGTAATTATCTATATCTATATATTATTAAAAGGAGAGGAAAAAGTATTATTCTTAAGCCAAGTGGCAGCCTAGAAAAAAGCCACAAGGCATAAGTAGTTAATAATTAGTTATTGGTTATTGTTTTTAAATTTAAATATCTATAAAATAATAAAATATAATATTTTATAATAAAAAACTAAAATTAAAAAAAAAACTTTCCATTCAAATTGGAGAGTAGTTTCAAGTTGGAGTTTTTAAATTTATTTAAAATAATAATTAGTTATTTAGTTAATAATTAGTTATTGGTTATTATTTTTTAATTTAAATATCTATAAAATAGTAAAATAAAATATATATCTTCTCTTATATTACAAAAATAAAGTGAGCAGACAAAAATATCTATATATTATTAAAAGGAGAGAAAAAAACTTCTTAAGCCAAGTGACAGCCTAAAAAAAAACTACATGGCATAAGTATTTAATAATTAGTTATTTAGTTAATAATTAGTTATTGGTTATTATTTTTGAATTTAAATATCTATAAAATAATAAAATACAATATTTTATAATAAAAAAGCTAAAATTAAAAAAACAATTCCATTCAAATTGGTGAGTAGTTTCAAGTTGGAGTTTTAAAATTTATTTAAAATAATAATTAGTTATTTAGTTAATAATTAGTTATTAGTTATTATTTTTAAATTTAAATATCTATAAAATAGTAAAATAAAATATATATCTTTTCTTATATTACAAAAAGAAAGCGAGCAGACAAAAATATTAAACAAAGTAATATGCTAATAAAAATTTCTATTAACAATGTAAAAATACTAAATATTGGATAATAGATTAAAGAAAAATATAGAATAAAAAAGTTATTCAATGACTATATAAGTCCCTTTAATTTAATAGAGATTTTATTATTGGGTATATATTGACAAATAAGGTGACAAGTGAAATTTATTAAAGAAATATGATTTAATATATTCAAACAAACTCGATCATTATTTAATTTAATTAATATTTTTTAATATTGACCGTAAATCACGTGAGTACAACTATTAGTAGGTGTTAATGATACTCCTTTGAGAAGACCCTTTGCATGTGACTCAATTAATGAACTTACGTATTCTGCGTGCTTGATAAACAAGGTTTAAATATATTAATTAAGACGAGTTTATGATCTGCCATATTATATTTTTAAAAGTTGCACGTGGTAAACTGATGCACTTGCTTGTAGTGAATGCCTTTATGTGAACTATAAGTCAACTCAAGGTGGCAATATATTTTTGAGTGCCACTGAGTATGCTTTTGTGGCTCATTATAAATTTGTATTTAGTTTCGTGATCACATTTTTTTTTATACATAAGAAATTTATTTTTACACATAAGAGATCTTTTTTTTAAATATAAGAAATCTAAAAAAAATTATTTTCTTACATTCAACTTTGTAAAAGACCACCGAGGCCTAAAACCTCGTAAATTACGGATCCAAACTCCAAAGCATATTATTAATGAAATTAAAGCTCAAACTCCTCCGGTCCAAAATACTTAATGTTTTAGCCCCTAAAATTTGGTCCAAAATATTTGATATTTCACAAAATCAAGAAAATATTTAAAAATAAAATTTCAAATTTACCTTGACATGTTTCTAATTTAATATACAATTTTAATGCATAGACTATATGTAACACCCCGTATATTCGGACTAGGTGTGGATATGTTAAATGAGTATTAATTTGATATTTTAGACATATGAAGTCCTAGCGAGATGAGTATGGATGAAAATAGTTGTTTCAGAATCAAGATGGAGAGTGAGGTGCATAAGATTCGACAAAATCGACTAAGTTTACAAAAGGTCCGTCTTTCAGCAGGATTTAGTGAAGTTGTGTAAGGAATTTGGGAAACCTCAAAAGATAAAAGTTGTAACCCTTTTAAATAGCTTTCCAACGATATATTATTGAGCCCGAACGGATCTCTGTGTAAAACGTTATGTGCATTTTACAGAGCAGTACGTAATATGCTCGCCCAGGTGCGCGCCCAGGGGGTCACGTGCGCGGCCGCGCACTTGTGGCAGTGCTGCTGCTATTTTGCACGGTCAGGTGTGCGGTCAGGCCTTCAGGTGCGCGGGGATGCACCTGGAGGGTCATTTTTAAAGCCCTACTTCGTCCCCCACATCCCAAATCACAAAACACACTTGCTCTAGAAAGGGAGGCTCTCAAGAACCTAACTCCTTAAAGGTCTCTCCACCGTCCAAGGTAAGTTCTAATGGTAATTCTAAGTTGATTTCAATTCCCCAACACCTTATTAACATAGGTAAACCCTCCAAATCATTAGATATTCGATTGGAGCATCATTGTTGAGAGAAGAAATCCTAGAACTCAAATTCAAGAGGATTGAACTTCAAAAAGGTAATGTCTTCACCCTCTAATTGATTATACCATTGGATTAATGATTATAGACTCTATGTTCATGAGATATGAGTTGACGGGTTTGATAGAAAAGCATGAAAAATTATAGGTTTGGTTTGTTGATTGTTGACTATTGGTTAAGAGTGTTGTTTATCTTATTGGTGAAGAAGAATGATTTTGATTATAAGAAACTTGAGATTTTAAAATTTATCTAGGAGTAAGGTATTGGCTTGTTGGGTATAGAAACACCATTAATAAGGGTTATGAAGCTTTATGCCATCAAGTGTTTGATAAAATACGTAAGTGACCAAAACATGAGTATTGTTGCTAATTTGGAATCCCTTTGACTTGTATTGATATAGATTAAAGTTGAAAGGGTTGGCGAATGTTGTATTATGCTCAAGAGCAGGAAGTTAAGGTATGTGAGGCCAACTCTCTATATTTGGGAATGTTAATAATTCTCCCTACAATACGTTTCCTTTACAACGTTACTAATTGCCTCAGAAATATAGTTAAGCCTAGTTTCTTGAATAGTTGCAGAATTTCTATTCTCTAGCTTCCTAATTAGTTCATGACTTTCATTCTGAACGTTGTGAGCTCAGTTCGTATTCAATATAGACTTGGGTTTGATGTCCCCGAGTCTCAGTATAGCTTACTCAGCATGCCATAAACAATTGAAGTTTCAGTGTTTATAATCAGTTCAAGAATACATGTCTCAGTCTAGTCCTATTCAGTATTCCAGTATTATGTAACTCAGTGTGATTCAGCATTTCAGTATCATGTACTGCAGTATGATTCTTAGTTCCTGATTTTATTTGGGCCTGAGGCCGCGGTTTATGCTTTATGTATCTTTGGGCCTGAGGCCGAAACTTATACTTTATGTATTTTTGGGCCTGAGGCCGCAGTTATGTATATGCATACTTGGGCCCGAGGCCATAATTTGTGCACATATATATATATTGGGCCTGAGGCCGCAGTTTAATATTCAGATAAACAGGTTGTTCATCATTTAGAAGAGGGAGTATTCATATCCTTACTTCCTTTGTTCAGTTATCAGTTATTAGTTATCATTATCATTTCAGTTATCAGCTACTACCTCCATTCTAGTTTATGTGAACCTATTTTCTTTTTAGTCCGTTCCAAAAAGAATGACCCCTTTCTAAATTTGGAAATAATTTTGCTTAAACTTATAATTCTATCCTTAATGACAAACTTTTATAACCACACAAATACTCTGAGTCCCTTTTTGAATTGTTTAGGACCACAAATTTCAAAAGTCTTTATTTTTTCTTAAATTTTGTGCCCAATCAAACAGGTTCACATAAATTGGAACGGAGGGAGTATCAGTTATCATTTTAGTTTCAGTTTCAATAGTTATCATTCCAGTTATCAATTATCAATTATCAATCCCCAATTATCAACTTAGTTTCAGTTTCAGCATTTATAATTATTTCTTTCAGTTACTTTACATACCAGTGCAATTCAAGTGTACTGACGTCCCTTTTGCCCGGGGCCTGCATCTCACGATGCAGACAATGATTTACAGGTTGACGATTCAGAGCGCTAGGATTCTCATACCAGCTATTTTGTGAGCCTCAGTTCTTTCGGGGCATTATCATCACTTTGTAGTCTTTCAGTATTTATAGATAGTTAGTATTTTCAGTACTTCATTAGAGGCTTCATAGACTAGAGTAACAGTTAGATAGAGTCACAAGCATTTCATGTTAAGCTACGTTGGCTACAAATATGTTCCAGAATTGTATTAGTATTTCCGCACTTGATTTATATCATTCAAACTTTTAATATATCAGCATGTACTAGTTTATCTTCCGCATTCAATATGTTATGATATCACATGTTGATTCAGTTAGCCAGTTGGTTCGCTCGGTCATATGTAGCTAGGCACCGAGTGCCATATTACGTCCAGGCCAAGGTTCAGGGCGTGACCCTATACATTTTTTTTAATTATGTATTTTAAGAATATTTTAGTCAAAACCCCTCTTAATTTTTAGGAATAAGCCAGTTTCTTAATCTATGTGTCCAAACCTAA